CTGATCACAGGTCTATAGCCAGGTCAGACAAGACTCTCTAGGATGATCACTAGTCTATAGCCAGACCAGATTAGACTCTAGGCTAATTACAGGTCATTAGCTAGGTCAAACCAGACTCTCTAGGCTGATCACAGGTCCATAGCCAGGTCAAAGCAGACTATAGGTTGATTGCAGGTCTATAGCCAGGTCAGATTAGACTCTCTAGGCTGATCACAGGTCCATAGCCAGGTCAGACCGGACTCTCTAGGTTGATCACAGGTCATTAGCCAGGTCAGACCGGACTCTCTAGGCTGATCACAGGTCCATAGCCAGGTCAGATCAGACTCTCTAGGTTGATCACAGGTCTATAGCCAGGTCAGACTAGACTCTAGACTGATCACAGGTCATTAGCCAGGTCAGACCAGACTCTTTTGGCTGATCACAGGTCTATAGCCAGGTCAGACAAGACTCTCTAGGATGATCACTAGTCTATAGCCAGACCAGATTAGACTCTAGGCTAATTACAGGTCTATAGCAAGGTCAAACCAGACTTCTATCACTTGTGGTTTTTAAGAAGTTTTTTTTTTAATCTTACTATATACATACATGTGTAAGAAAAACACATGACCCCGAGTCGGGGCTAATATAGACCCAAGGGTTATATTTTGAGACAACTTGGTAGAGGTCCATAAGACAATGCCTTGTGCAAAATATCTATGCTCTTGGTTTTCTGGTTTTAGAGCGTGTCACGTTTATCTGTTACGAGCACAGTCAGTTTTTAGTTAAAAACTGGTTACAATATTTAATAACTGGTAACCGAGGTTAGTATTAGACAGAGCCAAGAAAGTTTTAAATTGATTCTAAACCATACCGTAATATTTATAACAGGATATTACATTTTGTTTGTGTTGTAATTGTACTCAACAATATATTTTTTACAATTACATATCTGTTCGCGAACAGTATGGCCCTACCAAAAAAAGGTTAAACCATAATTAGATATGTATTGTACTCAATTTCAGTACTATAAAATACGACCAAAATGTCATAACTTGTCATTAACAAAGTTTATGTTCAAATCTAAGAATTTTATTAGTACAGTTGTTTAAATGTTTTACACAGTTTTTAGGTCGCCGTTTGAACAGTTATCTTTAAAGCTGACCGTGACGCCCCTATTCTAGAGAATAAAGTTTTTAAAGTTTCTTCCCATTAGTTCTTTTGGTAGCCTTGGCAACAAATTTCTGCATGGAATCAATTTCTTTGAATATTTTTGGAAGTCCTTTACCCAAGGAACAATCCTGGCAAGTTTAGATGAAATCAGAAAGCCGAATATTGGCCCCATTCCCCATCAAAATTATGGGTTTTTTTCCCAATCCAAAAAGAAAAAATACCCAAACTAGAAGTAAGCCAAGTATCACATTTTCAATTTAAATAAAACAGGATTTATAATTTATATCAGTTTTACATTTGCAGTATTTCTTCCAGAGCGTGTTTTTGCGTTTTTGACACATTTTTTATGGCCTTGACGCAATGAAATTCAATAAGTGCGTTTCCTGTCACGCAGTAATTTATTCTCCATCACACACACAGTAAATATCAAATTATGACAGTTTCAAATCCAGGGCAAACTGTTTTACAAATTAAAATACAAATCATGCACTGCTTTTATTTTTACAATTTCATACCTTTGTCCGTTAATCAGACAAAATACCCTTTCATGCACCACATGAGGACAACATAATTATATCCAATATTTGTCCTCTTTTCTATAAATCAATTATCTAATTTTCAAAACAAAATCGTATACACATTTCATTCAATGGAGGAATAAAAGATATATATAACCATTACACATTTTACCTGTATACAGTACAGCTAGTGACATAGTGTATACTACCAAATATGGAAAGGATGATGCAACTGTGTAAACAATTGACTCGCTGATTAAAAGTAAAGTTGTAATGTACACATATATTACAGTGGCTTGTGAATGGAGCTAATTGGGGGTAATTCAATTCATTAAAGAATTTTTTTCTGTTTATAGAGATTGTTCAAATTATTTTTATGCTACATTTTCTTTTCTATTTACCTATTAATTTTTCAATGGCTGAATGAACTATATTGAGGGAAGAGGCTGATAAAATAGTGGTTCCTGTTATCCTATGTTTTTCTTGGTTTATAAATTAAATGGTTGAGAATGACACTCTAAAATTTCAATTGACAGGGGGTCAGGAATAACTCCCCCCCCCCCCCAAAAAAAAAAATTAGGGCTGGAAGAAAAACTGCATTTGTACACATTTTAGCCTGTCCTTGTATTTTTGATATGACAGAAAAAGCTGAACAGTTTAAGTAAGATTTATTTAGATTTATTTTAACAATTGTAACACCTTGAATGCTAGCATATTTTCCCAAATTGGCAAATTTCACGATAACTTTTTTCCCAAATTGGAAAATTTTACAACACAAATTTCCCAAATTTGCCATGTGGCGTTTTCCCAAAATAGAGGAAAAAGGCCCCTCTTGGCCATTTGATAAAAAGTGCAGGACTTTTTGGCTTGTTTAGTTTACTTCATTCAGCAATGTTTGCATATGACAGTAACAATATAAATTTGAGATTTCTATAACAATTTGATGCCTGACTGATCAAGAGGTAAAACAATAAAAGAGCAGATTAACGCTTAAACCTGTGCATGCTTTTCACACCTTCTGCACTTTCAGTGTCCTAATTACAATTGTTTATTGTATTTGACTGTCAAAATGATCAAGCGTTATAGTGATAGGTTTGGTTTTGGACCAAACAGGTTATTTTTATTTCAAAGACATAGACTGCTTGGGCTAAATGCACTGAAGTAAAGGGTGATTAAACTGAAAAATACATGTGGAAACCATCTTCCAATCTGTAAGTTAAACCACAAGTTCTACAAATTTATTGAACTCCTCTTGTAAACTGGTCTCCACAATATAAGCTGCTGAATGTTCGATTTCTCGGATCTTAGAACACCTCTTGCAAGCAACATAGATTTTCCAATTTAAAGAAAGATGATTCCATTATACAAATTCAACAGAGTAAAAAATAAATAATTTTCTTTTTCAAACATTTGCTAGACAATATCATTTATGATAGTAACATTATTCTTACAATCTATCCCTCGAAACTTCAGCTTCTGCACCATAGTCACTATAAGCTGGTACAGAGGTTTGATCATCATTTTCCAATTGCTCCAGGTTGCCTGCTGCACCTTCTGTACTCTCATACATGTGAACTAACGACTTGAGCTGAGACAGTCTGTCCTTTACTTCATTCAACTTTCTATTTGTAAAAAAAATAAAAAAAATTAATAGAAAAGTGACAAATGCCTCCGAAGGATTCTAGTTATAAACCACCTATTACATGTTAAGTGTGGTGGTAAATATTGACAAAGTTCGAACCCCAGCAGTGACCTTTAAGTTAGACAAAGAAACCTGGGTCTTATTCACAAATCATTGTCCATCTATGGTAACTTTATATTTTTAAATAAATATTGAAACTTTCATGTATATGGAAGTTACAGAGCGGACACAACAACCACCATTTATATGTATATAACATAAATATTGAAAAAGTTTAAACCCCAGCAGTGACCTTGAACTAAGGCATAGGAAAATGGGTCTTAAGGGCAACACATCATACATTTATGATAATTTCATATGTGAAATGAAAAATAATATTATAATCCTTCTATATTTATATAACATAAAAAATGAAAAAGTTTGAACGCCCAGAGTGACCTTGAACTTAGTGGTAGAAACCCCGAGTCTTGCTCGCCACACACCAGATATCTATGGTTATTTCATATATGAAAGAAAAATTACAATCCTTTCATGTATACCGAAGTTTCAGAGCGGACACAACCACCACCTTCTATATTTTCATAACATAAAAAATGACGAAGTTTGAACACCCACAGTGACCTTGACCTTAGTCGTAATAACCCGAGTCCTGTTCACGACACACCTTACATCTATGGTGATTTCATATATATAAGAAAAATTAAAATCCTTTCATGCATACCCAAGTTTCAGAGCAGACACAACCACCACCATCTATATTTAAATAATATAAAAAATGGCAGTTTGAACCTCAACAGTGACCTTGACCTTAGTGGTGGAAACCCGAGTCTTGTTCGCAACACACCATACATCTATTGTTATTTCATATATGAAAGAAAAATTAAAACCCTTTCATGCATACTGAAGTTTCAGAGCGGACAGGACCACCACCATCTATATTTATATAATATAAAAAATGACAAAGTTTGAATCTCCATAGTGGCCTTGACCTTAGTGATAGAAACCCAAGTCTTGTTTGCGACACACCATACATCTATGGTAATTTCATATGTAAAAGAAAATTAAAATCCTTCCATGCATACTGAAGTTTTAGAGCGGACACCACCTTCTATATTTAAATAACATAAAAAATGACAAAGTTTGAACCCCTACAGTGACCTTGACCTTAGTCGTAGGAACCAGAATCTTGTTCGCGACACACCATACATCTATGGTAATTTCATATGTAAAAGAAAACTAAAATCCTTCCATGCATACTGAAGTTTTAGAGCGGACACCACCTTCTATATTTAAATAACATAAACAAGAGCGATCAGTAATCACATGTGTCGCCTCATGATGGCCAATTTCATGTTGGGACAAAGTTTGTGACAGACGGACAGACAGACGGACAGTGCACAACTAGACTTGGTACTGATCATTCCTGTAAAGTTTGAATAAAATTGCACCAATAGTTTATGAGGAGTAGTCCGGACAAGCTTTTGCGTATCTGGCAACACACAGAAAAAACACCTTTTTATCAAAGGGCCATAACTCGGCCAAAAATCATTCAACCGGAAAACCCGTGCAATATGCGCAAGGACTTGACCTACAGATCAATCCTGTAAAGTTTCATTGAAATTGCTTTAGTGGTATAAGAGAAGTAGTCCGGATAAAAATTATTAAAGGGCCATAACTCTGATAAAAATCATTGAACCGGAAAATGCTGATAATATGCACAACAAGACTTGGAACTGATCATTCCTGTAAAGTTTGGATAAAATTGCACCAGTAGTTTATGAGATGTAGTCCAGACAAGCTTTTGTGTATCTGGCAACACACAGAAAAAACACCTTTTTATCAAAGGGCCATAACTTGGCCAAAAATCATTCAACCGAAAAACCCTTGCAATATGCGCAAGGACTTGAGCTACAGATCAATCCTGTAAAGTTTCATTGAAATTGCTTAAGTGGTATAAGAGAAGTAGTCCGAACAAACTTTAAAATTAAAAATTATTAAAGGGCCATAACTCTGCCAAAAATCATTGAACCGGAAAATGCTGACAATATGCACAACTAGACTTGGTACTGATCATTCCTGTAAAGTTTGGATGAAGTTTTGTGACGGACAGACAGACGGACAGACAGACGAAGGAGAAGTGATCCCTATATGTCACCACTACTCCGTAGAGGCGACACAAAAATGACAAAGTTTGAACCCCTACAGTGACCTTGACCTTAGTCGTAGGAACCAGAGTCTTGTTCGCGACACACCATACATCTATGGTTATTTCATATATGAAAGAAAAATTAAAATCCTTCCATGCATACTGAAGTTACAGAGTGGACACGACCACCACTGTCTATATGTATAAAGCGGGACGGACTGACGGACGGTTCGATTTTAATATGCCACCCTTTGGGGGCATAAAAATATATTAAAACTTAAATAACACGAAAGCATTTTACGTAAAAATCAATAACTCTGTAAAAAGTCAAAAAAATTCAAATTAGGCATTTTTCTTTCAATATTCAAAGTACTCTACATAGTTCTGACTGTATTGTTCAATTTTTTTTTCATTCTCCTTTCCTAAAACAGAATGAGTTCTTTTTTATAACAAGGAACAATAAATATTTGTAACAATAATCTAACACAAAATATTTGTTACAATAACCTAACAGAAACTTAATAAAAGACATATAAACATACTGCATTTTCTGCCTAGCATCTATCATTTCCAGGACACCATTAGCAAGATTGTCTGTACCCTCGGACGAGGCTGCCACAGGATCCATCTCAGATGTTGGTGGAATCAGGGCTGTTCTCATACCTGCTTCTGATGAAGCTGTGAATAAGAGGTCCATAATATCTAGCACAATTTCTATACCAGACTAAAACTACAACAATTTTCCTAAAAGACATATTACACAAGAGCACGACATAGGCATGGCAATAAACACCCAAATACAAATTTGTTTGAAGCACAGAGTGATTATTTACCTCCATGCAAGTGTCACTGAATATATAAACTGACTGAAAATAACAATAATGTTGGTTTCTAAATGATAACTAGAAATGTGTCATCATGCCACGGATGCCCCCGCATGCAGCCAAAATTTCAAATGTTATAATATTAAGTTCCAAATTTGTTTGCGCAAATTATTTTTTTCATTCTAAGTTCAAAGCCCTTAAAACTTTTCATTGTTAACACAAACCATTTTTATACAATGTTCAAGGCACTGAAATTATTCAGTCTTAACCTTTTGAAAATAGCATATTGCATATTTGTAGCCAAAATAATGGCTTTATACATTTCCACAAAAGTATGAGTGCTGAAACTGAAAGTTCAAAATTTTTCCAACATTCAGGAAAGATAAGTTTGTCTAAAATCATTGAACCACGACCAAATTCAAACTTAAACTGCTTATTCCTAAGATGTATCTATATTATTTTCAAAGTGAAAGGGACATAACTCTGCCAAAAAATCATCGAACCATGACCAAATTCCAACTTGACCTGCGCATTCCTTTGACGTATCCATATGTCAAGTTTGAGTTGAATGTGTTGTACCATTGGGGAGATAATGAACAGAAACTGAAAATTTCATATTATTTTCAAAGTAAAAGGGGCATAACTCTGCTAAAAATCATCGAACCATGACCAAATTCGACCTTGACCTGCATTTTCTCATGACATATCCATATGTCAAGTTTGAGTTGAATGTGTTGTACCATTGGGGAGATAATGAACGGAAACTGAAAATTTCATATTATTTTCAAAGTGAAAGGGGCATAACTCTGCCAAAAAATCATCGAACCATGACCAAATTCCAACTTGACCTGCGCATTCCTTTGACGTATCCATATGTCAAGTTTGAGTTGAATGTGTTGTACCATTGGGGAGATAATGAACGGAAACTGAAAATTTCATATTATTTTCAAAGTAAAAGGGGCATAACTCTGCCAAAAATCATCGAACCATGACCAAATTCAACCTTGACCTGTATTTTCTCATGACATATCCATATGTCAAGTTTGAGTTGAATGTGTTGTACCGTTGGGGAGATAATGAACGGAAACTGAAAATTTCATATTATTTTCAAAGTGAAAGGGGCATAACTCTGCCAAAAATCATCAAACCATGACCAAATTTGAACTTGACCTGCGCATTCCTTTGACGTATCCATATGTAAAGTTTGAGTTGAATGTGTTGTACCATTGGGAGATAATGAACGGAAACTGAAAATTTCATATTATTTTCAAAGTAAAAAGGGGCATAAACTCTGCCAAAAAGCATCGAACCATGACCAAATTCAAACTTGACCTGTATTTTCTCATGACATATCCATATGTCAAGTTTGAGTTGAATGTGTTGTACAGTTGGGGAGATAATGAACGGAAACTGAAAATTTCATATTATTTTCAAAGTGAAAGGGGCATAACTCTGCCAAAAATCATCAAACCATGACCAAATTTAAACTTGACCTGCGTATTCCTTTGACGTATCCATATGTCAAGTTTGAGTTGAATGTGTTGTACCATTGGGGAGATAATGAACAGAAACAGAAAATTTCATATTATTTTCAAAGTAAAAGGGGCATAACTCTGCCAAAAATCATCGAACCATGACCAAATTCCAACTTGACCTGTATTTTCTCATGACATATCCATTTGTAAGTTTGAGTTGAATGTGTTGTACAGTTGGGGAGATAATGAACGGAATCTGAAAATTTCATATTATTTTCAAAGTAAAAGGGGCATAACTCTGCCAAAAATCATCGAACCATGACCAGTTTCGAACTTGACCTGTATTTTCTCATGACATATCTATATATCAATATGTCAAATTTGAGTTGAAAATGTTGTACCGTTGGGGAGATAATGAACGGAAACTGAAAATTTCATATTATTTTCAAAGTGAAAGGGACATAACTCTGCCAAAAAATCATCGAACCATGACCAAATTCCAACTTGACCTGCGCATTCCTTTGACGTATCCATATGTCAAGTTTGAGTTGAATGTGTTGTACCATTGGGGAGATAATGAACGGAAACTGAAAATTTCATATTATTTTCAAAGTAAAAGGGGCATAACTCTGCCAAAAATCATCGAACCATGACCAAATTCGACCTTGACCTGCATTTTCTCATGACATATCCATATGTCAAGTTTGAGTTGAATGTGTTGTACCATTGGGGAGATAATGAACGGAAACTGAAAATTTCATATTATTTTCAAAGTGAAAGGGGCATAACTCTGCCAAAAATCATCAAACCATGACCAAATTTGAACTTGACCTGCGCATTCCTTTGACGTATCCATATGTCAAGTTTGAGTTGAATGTGTTGTACCATTGGGGAGTTAATGAACGGAAACTGAAAATTTCATATTATTTTCAAAGTAAAAGGGGCATAACTCTGCCAAAAATCATCGAACCATGACCAAATTCAAACTTGACCTGTATTTTCTCATGACATATCCATATGTTAAGTTTGAGTTGAATGTGTTGTGCAGTTGGGGAGATAATGAACGGAAACTGAAAATTTCATATTATTTTCAAAGTGAAAGGGGCATAACTCTGCCAAAAATCATCAAACCATGACCAAATTTGAACTTGACCTGCGTATTCCTTTGACGTATCCATATGTCAAGTTTGAGTTGAATGTGTTGCACCATTGGGGAGATAATGAACAGAATCTGAAAATTTCATATTATTTTCAAAGTAAAAGGGGCATAACTCTGCCAAAAATCATCGAACCATGACGAAATTCGAACTTGACCTGTATTTTCTCATGACATATCCATATGTTAAGTTTGAGTTGAATGTGTTGTACAGTTGGGGAGATAATGAACGGAATCTGAAAATTTCATATTATTTTCAAAGTAAAAGGGGCATAACTCTGCCAAAAATCATCGAACCATGACCAATTTCGAACTTGACCTGTATTTTCTCATGACATATCAATATGTCAAATTTGAGTTCAATATGTGCAACGGTTATTAAGATAATGAACGGAAACTGATGATGACGGAAGGACGGAACAGGGTAACACTATATGCCCCTGCCATTATATGGCGGGGGCATAAAAATTCAAAGAATTCATACCAAAAATCAACAGCAGACAATGTTATGCCTAAAAATAATCAACAAGAAATATGTCCATAGGACACGGGTGCCCCAACACTACCCTGTTTTGTCAATCTACTGGCTCAAGGTCAAATATTTTTTGGGCTACACGGACACAAGATGAAAACTGGAAAGCTTTTACTAAGACAAAGGCAATTACTCTAAAAATACTGAATAAATCCACAAGCAGACCCCAAGGTGCTTAACTACACATGCTGACCAACTTTTAGAAAGTCAAATACTTTTTGAGCTATGCATGAACAAGTTGAAAATTGAAAATTTATACTAAGTCAAGGGCAATAACTTTAACAAATCTAAAAACAAATCCACAGTGATGTTGATCATCATTCCTGTAAAAATGGTTAATTCTAACTAAAGCACTCAAGGTACACATAACACAACATTCTGGAATGGTTCTTACAAATTTAAGGCAATACAAATACTGAATAAATCCACAATCAAATTGCCAGGTGCACACTTACACATGCTGATCAATATTACTGTAAAGTTTCATGACTATAGGTCATATATTTTTTGAGCTACGTGCCTTACAAGTTAAAAATTGCAAATTTTTACTAAGTCAAGGGTAACAACTCTACAAATACTAAATAAATTCACACACAAACACCCAGGTGCAAAAACTACACATGCTGACCAATATTCCTGTAAAGTTTCATGACTAGGTCAAACACTTTTTAAGCTTCATGCGATACAAAATGAGAATGGACGGACATAAGAATGGACAAGGGTAAATTTAAATGTAGGTTGGAAGAAAAGACTTTTAAGACATGTAAACTATATAAATCTGTGTACATGTAAATTGTGCAAGACCTACCCATCCCTCCACCAACCCTCTGGGCACAGGCATATTTTAATATCAGTGAAATGAACAAATGCATGGTTCTTCTCTGTAATGATACATGCCTAATAACTGAGACATTGTAGCTTTACAAAAGAATACATAAATGAAAATAATTCCATCTATGTGACCCCTTGGATAGGGCCAATATTGATCCCAGGAGCATGATTTATATCAATTTTCTGCCAAGTAGTTTCAATTTCCTTCCACTGGTTCAAAGATACAGACTGGACATGAAAACTCCTATTAAGTCTATGTAAATCAATTAATACTCGGGGCGGGGCCAATTTTGATCTTAGGAAGCGCAAACTGATGTTATGCACACCGTCTCAATATAAGTAATATTTCGGCCAAAAAGTTTTAATTTCTGTCTATTGTTTCAAAAGATACAGAGCGGATACAAAACTAAGTGTGACCTTAACCTAAGAAACGTCAAACCTGCGCTCTTCACATTGTCTCATTATGGTCAACATTTTTGCCAAGTAGATTAGTTTTCTTCCACTGGTTCAAAAAATACAAACCGGACACAAAACCTGCTAAGGGACGGACGGACAACCAGATGCATAACAATATACGCCAAAATCATTATGGGTGTATAACAAAGGAGCTGTGTAAAAAATTGATAATCTGCCACGAATATAAGATACATTTCAGGCTCCACTTTGCAAAATACCAAACTTTAAATCTACCTGAAATTTCAAAATCATTTGACTTAGGTATTGCAATCGATAACCAAAAGTATAATAAATTGATAATCAAAAGCATAACAAGAGGGCCATGATGGCCCTGAAATCGCTCACCTGTATATAGGCCACCGGAGCGGGGCCAATTTTAACCCAGGGGCTTTTATTTGAACAAACTTGGTAGACACCCATTTGAAGATGTATCATGATAAACATTTGAAGATGTATCATGATAAATATCTTAGCTCCAGCTCTAAGAAGATTTTTTAAGTTTTTACTATACTATATATAGGGAAACACAATGACACCCCCCACCCCCTCTGGGCAGGGCCAATTTTTTCCCAAGGGCTTTTATTTGAACAAACTTGGTAGTCACTCACTAGAAGATAGTTCATGCTTAATATCTTAGCTCTAACTCTTAGAGTTTTTTAAAAGAAGATTTTTTAAGTTTTTACTATATACATATAGGGAAAAACAATGAGCCCCTGGGGCGGGGCCAATTTTGATCCCAGGGTTTTTATTTGAACAAACTTGGTAGACACCCTTTAGAAGATGTTTCATGCTTAATATCTAAGCTCTAGCTATTTGGGCTTTTTAAATGAAGATATTATAAGTTTTTACTATATACATATAAGGAAAATCAATGATCCCCCCCAGGGCAGGGCCAATTTTAACCCAGGGGCCCTTATTTGAACAAAAATGGTAGACACCCACCAGAAGACGTTTCATGCTAAATATCTTAGCTCTAGCTCTAAGACTTTTTTAAAAGAAGATTTTTTTAAGTCTTTACTACATACATAAAGGAAAAAAAGCAATGACCCCCTGGGGCGGGGCCAATTTTGACCCCAGGGCTTTTATTTGAACAAACTTCGTAGACATCCACTAGAAGATGATTCATGCTTAATAGCTAAGCTCTAGCTATTTGGGCTTTTTAAAAGAAGATTTTTAAGTCTTTACTTTATACAAATAAGTAAAATCAATGCCCCCATGGGGCGGGGCCAATTTTGACCCCAGGGCATTTATTTGAACAAACTTGGTAAACACTGACTAGATGACATTTCATGCCAAATATTTAAGCTCTAGCTCTTTCGTTTTCTAAAAGAAGATATTTTAAGTTTTTTTCTTTTAGTTGCCATGGCAACCAGAGTTCTGCTTGGAATTAAACGCCAGACGGACCGACGCCGGACGAAAAGCGATCACAAAAGCTCACCATGTCACTTTGTGACAGGTGAGCTAATAAAAAGTAAAAGTGTAACAAGAGGGCCATGATGGCCCTGAGGTCGCTCACCTGTATATAACAGACTTGGTAGACACCCATAAGAAGATGTTTCATGCTAAACATCTAAGTTCTAGCTCATTGGGTTTTTTAAAAGTAGATTTTTTAAGTTTTTACTATACACATATAGTTAAAAACAATGACACCTCTGGGGCAGGGCCAGTTTTGACCCCCGGGCTTTTATTTGAACAAACTTTGTAGATATTTACTTAAAAATGTTTCATGTATAATATCTAAACTCAAGCTATTTGGGTTTTTTCAAAGAAGATTTTTAAGTTTTTGCTATACACATATAAAGAAAATCAATGACCCCCGGGGCGGGCCAGTTTTGACCCCAGGGCTTTTATTTGAACATACTTGGTAGACACCCATTAGAACATGTTTCATGCTAAATATCTTAGCTCTAGCTCTTTGAGTTCTTCAAAAGAAGATTTTTTAAGTTTTTACTATATGCATATCGGGAAAATCAATGACCCCCTGGGGCGGGGCCAATTTTGACCCCAGGGCTTTTATTTGAACAAACTTGGTAGACACTTATTAGAAGATGTTTCATGCTAAATATCTTAGCTCTAGCTCTTTGGGTTCTTTAAAGAAGATTTTTTAAGTTTTTACTATATGCATATAGGGAAAATCTATGACCCCCTGGGGCAGGGCCAATTTTGACCTCAGGGCTTTTATTTGAACAAACTTGGTAGACACTCATTAGAAGATGTTTCATGCTAAATATCTTAGCTCTAGCTCTTTGGGTTCTTTAAAAGAAGATTTTTTAAGTTTTTACTATATGCATATAGGGAAAATCTATGACCGCCTGGGGCAGGGCCAATTTTGACCTCAGGGCTTTTATTTGAACAAACTTGGTAGACACTCATTAGAAGATGTTTCATGCTAAATATCTTAGCTCTAGCTCTTTGGGTTCTTTAAAAGAAGATTTTTTAAGTTTTACAATATGCATATTGGGAAAATCAATGACCCCCTGGGGCGGGGCCAATTTTGACCCCAGGGCTTTTATTTGAACAAACTTGGTAGACATTCACTAGAAGATGTTTCATGCCAAATATCTAAGCTCTAGCTTTTACAGTTCTTTAAAAGAAGATTTTTTAAGTTTTTACTATATGCATATAGGGAAAATCAATGACCCCCCGGGCTGGGGCCAATTTTGACCCAAGGGCTTTTATTTGAACAAACTTGGTAGACACTCACTAGAAGATGTTTCATTACAAATATCTTAGCTCTAGCTCTTTGGGTTCTTTAAAAGAAGATTTTTTAAGTTTTTACTATATGCATATAGGGAAAATCAATGACCCCCCTGGGGCCAGGCCAATTTTGACCCTAGGGCTTTTATTTGAACAAACTTGGTAGACACTCATTAGAAGATGTTTCATGCCAAATATCTAAGCTCTAGCTCTTACGGTTCTTTAAAAGAAGATATTTAAAGATTTTTCTTTCGGTTGCCATGGCAACCAGAGTTCTGCATGAAATGGAATTCTTTGAACAATCTTGATAGAGCTTCATACAAAGAGTATTCCTGCCAAGTTTCATTAACATTGGCTTTGCGGTATCATAGAAGATGTCCTTAGAATATTTAAAATGTGGACGGACGACAGACGACGGACGCCATTTGGTTGGCCATCCTAAAAGCTCACCTGCACTTTGTGCAAGGTGAGCTAAAAATACAAAAGTTCATTTCATGTAAATGGTTAATTATGACATTTAACACATATAACAATGCATCACTGGCAAATGTGTTTTTTGTAAAAGAGAAGTACATTTCTATATTGAATATCATTACTCAAACTTCACACATAAACTTTATTTCCTGTTAATTTAAATTCTAAAATGGACAGCTTCTTCCATACTTTTTTTAACAGTTACATAGGCCTAACACTAGAAAGTCATCTCACCATTGTTCAGCAGAAAGGCCGGATTGTTTCTCAAGGTATGTAACTCTTGTAGCATAGAATCCATTCTTTTCTTCTTTCCCTGCAACTCTCTTAATTTGGTCTGCAGTTCATCACGATTCATTTGTGCTGTTGGCATTGGTAACATTGGATTAGAAAACTCCTCCTATATCAAGTTTAAGCAACATTCAATATTATATTTTTTCATCTTTTTTTTCACCAATTTTGTATTCATCAAATCATCAAACTACACCTGCATTTAGAAATGTTTATGTCTTTGTTCAAAAATGGTAGTTCAATCAGACAAATTTCATTTAAATTTACATATAAGAAATTTTGTACAATAATATCTTTACATAATTATGATAAATATTTCATGCATACATCTTTTTGAAGTGTATCTTTCAGTTTAACTATAAACCATGTTTCCATATCATGTGGTACAAAACATCTTTTTTATATTACAATCTGCATTTTAAACTTGAACTCAGATGAAAATATTTCTGTAAATATTTTATCTCTTCATCAATCTTAATAGGATATAGTGCATAATAATAAGAAATCTGGTCCTAACAGACATTCTAACCATTTTATGTTTTTAAATACTTGTGAATTTTCATGAAAAGCATACAAACTCTTAAACAATGTACATTAAAACATTATCATACTTGAATCAGTTTGTCCAATTTATCTTTCTTGCCCAGAAGGTCATTCAATCTTTCCTGAAGTTGGTCTTTACTCATTTCAGTTGGAGGAACCATATCTCTGACCAACTGGGCTTCTCTCTCATTTGTTGGTCTGTCAGCAAACTTTGGTGATGGGGGTCTAGGTGGAGGCTGGTTTTTAGGTCTGACATCTTTTGGACGATTGCTCTGCAAATTACGACCACTGGCAGCCTGAGCTTGTGTATTCTGATCCTGTAAATATGTCATATATCAAATTTCTTCGTAAAGTTCATATTGAACTTGTAGAATGGAAAAAATAAAAAATTTACCCTTCAAAATAATATCACTTGACTAACAACTGTACCTTGTCACGATAGATAAGTATTTCAAGTTTCAAATTGATTGTTGCCGTTCTGAACGGCAAAATATACAATTAGGTAAAAAGAATTGACCATAACTACCCATACACCGACTGCCCTAGATCAAAGAATTTAATACCACATAACACCAGAAATGTGTTGTAACACCACGATTGCCCCCACATACAGCCAAAATTTCAAATGGTATAATATTGAAATTTTCAACTATCATTAAGGGTTAAACAGTGATATTATTTTCCAATTTTCAAAACAACCTGTGGCTTTCTGAAGGGGAAAATATAGCGCGATAAATCAGAAAAAGGGAAAACCTAAAATCAAATTCCAACAACTGAAAATGGAATTTAACCACACAATTTAAAAAAAAAATATTTCAATTTAATTTGATATGCATGGTATATAGCAGGGGGTATCTATAGGGACAGCTTTCTGTCTTCTAGCTAACATAAGTCAGATGCTGTTAAGTCATGGTTTTGGTAAGGAAGAGCACGAGACATTTTAGGGGAAAATATGAGCATTTTTAGGGGAAAATACACCTATTTAGGACTAGGGGAAACAGCCTTTATTCGGCTGTAAAATTCAGTGAAAAAAATCACTGTTAAATCACAGGTCATTTTTTTGTTGTTTTTTTTTTCTCCTTCTTTTTCTATCTCATTCTTCTTTCTATCTGAACTTATCAAACTATTATCATTACTAGTCTTATTTTGCTTTTCTTTAAATAATTGATATATCTTATATTTATTTATTCATTTTCGATGCAAGTTGTAACACATCAGCCTTCTAAGTCAACAAGCGACAATTTATTTCGTCTTATTTAGCACATATATTTATTGTACATTGGGAAAAGACTTCAATAAGCATTAGATTGCTTCCAGTCTAATCCTTTTCTTGTTTTGATTGTAAATATCATGTATGTAAATATGCTTATGTGAGAAAGAATAAAATATGTTTAAACCAATATTGAAATCCAAATTTGTTTGCACAAACTATATTTTCATTCTAAGTTCAAGGCCTTTAAACTATTCAATGTTAACACAAATCATTTTTATACAAAGTTCAGGGCCCTGAAACTATTCAGTGCCTTTTGCAAAATGCATATTTGTAACCAAGATAATGATAAGAAATTGTGAATTTTAAAATCTTTTCCAAGTTCAAGGGGGATAACTGTCAAAAGCATCCAACCATGACCAAATTAGAACTTGCTTTATATTTTCTGGTAAAATACCAGCACATGCAATACCAACCTCGGATATACATTCCTACAAAATTTAGAGCAGAAACTAAAAAATTCTTATTTTTTCTAAGTTCAAGAAGTTTAACTCCAAAACCAAATTCAAACTTGACATGTATTATCTGGTTAATTAAATACCTGAACGTGCGATTTCAACCTTAAAAATACTTTTCCACAAAAGTAAGAGTGCGGAAACTGAAAATTTCAATTTTTTTTTCAATGTTCAAGAGGGATAACTTTGTACAAAATCATTGAACCATGACCAAATTCAAACTTGACCTGCTTATTCCTATGATTTATCTTTATGTCCAATTTGAGTTGAATGTGTACAACTGTTGGGAAGATAATGAACGAAAAATAATTTTTTTTTTCAAAGTTCAAGCTGTATAACTATCAAAAATCATCAAACCATGGCCAAATTTGAACTTGACCTGCATATTCCTTAACATATTCATATGGCAAATTTGAGTTGAATGTGTACAACTGCTGGGAAGATAATGAACCAAAACTGAAAATTTCTTCAAGGGGCATAACTCATCAATCAAGTCATCGGACCATGATCAAATTCGAACTTGACCTGCATATTCCTATGATGTATCCATGTCAAATTTGAACTGAATGTGAATGATGATGGCGGGGGCATTAAATGGAAGACAAAAGACCTCAAAAAGAGGCACCTAAAGGGCATGCTATATTCCATATTTTATCAGGTTACCTGTATCTAGAATTGAATTACTATCTTCATGTACAAAGCTCAAAACCAGTTTCAAACAGACAGGGCTGGCAAAATCTGATTTTGACTTACTTGTCTGTTTTTATCTGAAGCATTTCTTAACTTGTCCGTATGATATTCACATAGTTTATTCTTGAAAATTTCCACTTGTCCGTAAAAGCTGTGAGACAAAGTAAACAATACAAACAATTGCTTTTATCGGCCATGAACAGACAAGCTAAAAACCTTGACACCGAAAAATTCAACACATAATAAGACTCTCATTTTACTTCAACATATACAGCAAGTAAGCAGATAAAAGTTCTACAGCACATTAACACTCACCAGAAACAACTGTTTTTCAGTGTTGGAATGTCAGTATTTTCTAATATCAAATTTGAGCATAGAATATGTTTAAACAATAATTTGAAGAAATGCTATTACCTGGAGCATTTAAGCTTTAGCTTAAACGAGGCTAATCAAATTAATATGAGCAAACTTTATAAAAGACTACATAAGAATGCTACAAATTGTAGTTTGGTGATCAATTATTTCAGGAGGAAATGATGTTTGAAGGTTTTTTCTATTTTTAGCTTAAGTGGCCCCTATGAGCAAACTTGATAAAAGACTACCCAAGAATGCTACAGACAAAGTTTGGTGATCATCCATCAATTAGTTCTCTAGAAATAGACATTTAACAGTATTTCTATTTTTAATTTTAGCGGCCCGTAAAAGGGGATTATCAAATTAATATGAGCAAACTGGATAAAAGACTACCCAATAATGCTACAGACAAAGTTTGGTGATCATCCATCAATTAGTCCTGTAGAAGAAGAGGTTTTAAGGTTTTTCTATTTTTAGCTTAAGCGGCCCCTAAAAGGGGCCAATCAAATTAATATTAGCAAACCTGATAAAAGACTTCACAATAATGCTACAGAGAAAGTTTGGTGATCATCCATTAATTAGTTCTGTAGCAATAGACATTTAAAGGTTTTTTCTATTTTTAGCTTTTGCGGCCTCAAAAAGGGGCCAATCAAAATAATATGAGCAAACTTGATAAAAGACTACCAAACAATGTTACAGACAAAGTTTGGTGATCATCCATCCAATAGTTCTGTAGAAATAGACATTTAATGGTATTTCTATTTTTAGCTTAAGCGGCTCCTAAAAGGGGCCAATCAAACTAATATGAGCAAACTTGATAAAAGACTACCAAACAATGCTACAGACAAAGTTTGGTGATCATCCATCCAATAGTTCTGTAGAAATAGACATTTAATGGTATTTCTATTTTTAGCTTAAGGGCCAATCAAACTAATATGAGCAAACTTGATAAAACACTACCCGAGAATGCTACAGACAAAGTTTGGTGATCATCCATTAATTAGTTCTGTAGGAGAAGATGTTTAAAGGTTTTTCTATTTTTAGCCCTAGAGACCCCTAAAAGGGGCCAATCAAAATAATATTAGCAAGTTTGATAACAGACTACCCAAGAATGCTACAGACAAAGTTTGGTGATCATCCATCTATTAGTTCTCTAGAAATAGACATTTAACAGTATTTCTATTTTTAGCTTAAGCGACCCCTAAAAGGGGCCAATTAAATTAATATGAGCAAACTTGATAAAACACTACCTGAAAATGTTACAAAGTTTGGTGATCATCCATTAACTAGTTCTGTAGGAGAAGATGTTTAAAGGTTTTTCTATTTTTAGCCCTAGAGACCCCTAAAAGGGGCCAATCAAATTCATATGAGCAAACTTGATAAAAGACTACCCAAGAATGCTACAGACAAAGTTTGGTGATCATCCATTAATTAGTTCTGTAGAAGAAGATGTTTAAAGGTTTTTCTATTTTTAGCCCTAGAGACCCCTAAAAGGGGCCAATCAAATTAATATGAGCAAACTTGATAAAAGAATGCTACAGACAAAGTTTGGTGATCATCCATCCATTAGTTCTGTAGAAGATGTTTAAAGGTTTTTCTATTTTTAGCTGTGCTGACCCCTAAAAGGGGCCAATTGAAATGACAGGAGCAAATTTAAGTGTGACTGTCACAAGGATGCTACAGACCAAATTTGAAGTAAATCTGCTTAGTAGTTTCAGAGAAGAAGACGATTGTTGACGCATGATGACGGACGCCGGAGCATCCCCCTTTGATACCAATAGCTCTCCCTGAGCCTTCGGCTCTGGTTAGCTCAAAATGCCAGAACTTTAAAAGTTGATCACCACAGCAACATTTTCATAAAATTTTATAAATTAACCAAGTGGTGGAAAGAACAGTGTCATCAAACCGAAGTGATCACAATAACTCACTTTGAGTATTTGTACATTGGTCAACTAAAAACAAACCTGTGATTTCAGCTCATTCTTCAGATATTGTAACTGTTGCCTAATGTCAAGAAGTTCTGGATCTGCCTGTTGCTGTCTAGAGGCATTACTTCCTGTGGCACCACTGGACTTTGACAGGGATTCTACCCTGTTTGTCATGCTAACTGCAGCTTCCTCCAAAGCATTAGAAACAGAACGAGCTTAAATAGATACAGGTGCTAAATCATTGAAATGTTCTAAATAATGCCATTTGATTTTTAAAATCAATGTCCAGACAATTTAGTCTAACAAAAATCATGTTTCACAATGTTAAATGTTATTTTATACCATTTCAGGCTAAAAAAATTGTACATATTTTGTTTTTAATAAGTAAATCTCGAGCTAGAGTAATCTTTCTGATAGGGGGTGGCGCCAAAAAAAGTGATCACTTTGTTTAACAACAGTTCTCAAATGAAAACAAGTGTTTGGGGCCTGAATAGGACATTTTCTCTGGAAAAAAATAGGGCCAGGGGGGCATGATCAAAAATATGAGTGAATCCCCTCCTAGAACAGACACTGATACTATGGTGTATAGCCAATAAAAACTTTGTCATGATATAATACCTTCATTACTCTTCTGTCGTGTTGTTGCCAGTTTGGACTCAGCATCTTGTTGAAGCGCTAAAAGAGCAGCCTGTCTCCCTCTCAATGCTCTCATCTATATAAATATATCACAAGATTAACATTTCACCAGTGCTCTATATAAATATATCATTTGTGTTACAATCCATCAATAAATGATGAGTAAATGGTTCCTGTACATATTTTCTGTTTATCTCAACTTTGACCTCTCTATGTGACCTTGACTTTGGTAGCAGGGACCTGGATTATGCGCACAATACTTAGCCTCAAAATGTTGAACATTTGCGCCAAGTTACATTAAAATCCCTGATGAATGTAGAAGTTGGACCTTAACCTTTAATGTAGAGACCTGGTTCATACACGTGACACTGCTTCTCATAGTGGTGAACATTTCTATGAAGTTTCATTAGAATCCAACCATGCATGTAGGAGATATGCTCTGGACAAAATCTCTGTATTTTATCATCTTTAGTGACCTTGGTATTTCATATATTAACCTTAATTACATGTCTCCCGTCTGTAGTCATCATAATGACCATTAGTGTTTTAATCCCACAATAAATGACGACTATATGGTCCAAATACACATTTTCATATCTTTATTTGAACTTTGACCCCTATGTGTGACTTTGACCTTGGTTGCAGGGACTTGAATTTGGTATGTGACACCCTGCCTCACTATAGTGAACATTTGTGCCAAGTTTTATTTTAATCCCTCTATGCATGTAGAAGTTTTTTTCAGGGCAAGCTTTTTTCAATGTCCTCTAAGTGTGACCTTGACCTTTGACCTTAAAACCTGGTTCATGCACATGACACTGTTTCTCTTAGTTGTGAACATTTCTATGAAGTTTCATTAGAATCCCTAAATGCTTATAGGAGGTAAGCCCTGGACAAAATCTCTTATCTTTCATCATCTTTACTGACCTTGACCTTGTATATATTAACCTAAATTACATGGTTCACACCCATAGTCAAAATAATGACAATTTGTGTTTCAATCCCTCAATAAATGACGACTAAATGGTCCAAATACACATTTTCATATTTCTATCTGTGCATCAATAATATGAAAATGTATCACTGGTATAATATTATGAAGATTCTAACCTGTTCTTGTTGTTCAATAAGCTTCTGGAGGAGTTCTTGTTGCTGTCTCAAAGCGACCAGAGTCTCTGCTGCTTCACGGGGGTTGTTTACCCCAGCCATTGCAAGCTGAGTACATAAATAAATACAGTGAATAGTTAAAAGTTTGAATAATTTTTTCTTTGTTTGTGTGAACTTTACTTCATCATTTAAATGCTGTCGACAAAATTTATTTTCATATATTTGATAATCTTATCAAATCAGCCATGATTCCATTTTGAGAGTCCAAAAGATCTATATTTAATGTATATAGTAACCTATACGACTTGATTTCGAAATATCAATATGAAATGCATATTGTACTTTATATAGGCTCCATTTCATTTTCAGAGTCCAAAATATGTATTTCAAATGCATAATAGACAAAAATCACTCACAAATGATAGTTGTTTTCTCTGACAAACTGTTTTGATATATGAGAATGATACTAAATCAAAACCACTTAATACAAGCTTAAGAACTTTGGCACATTTCACTCATTATTAATTTTAATTTCATTAATTACCATTAATATGCATTTTGTTTGCATCTTAATTAAAGATGGTCGGTAAACAAAACAAACAAATCAATGAGTATATATCACCGGTCATTTTGTATAATTCAACCTTAATTGCCTTTATCACAAGGTGTTAAAAACACAAGACGCCGACTGTCACTAATTAGCTGGTCGATTCACAGCTTTTGAAATTTTTTTGTGTTTGACTGAAAAGGTGTCATTTTCACTATATTTCTATTGGAGGGACCGAACGTCTTGTTCGACAGTTCAAGCGATCAGTGTTTGAGACATTCAAGGTAGAACAATGTATGTTATATAGGGAATTTCCTGGGACTGGACGATGAGTTCGAACGAAGGGAGGTGTTCGAGCGAACTGAGTTCGAGCATACAAAGTTTAACTGTATTGTCAAATCATGTTCGAAACAGTTACAAATAACCTTTCATTTTCCCAATGTACTAAAACAAACAAAAGCAGTGAAGTTAAGAAAATAGCATAATTATGTCAAAATGTAATTAAGTGCATACTGAGCTTACTTGTGACCCTT